AAGAAAATGCTAAAGGAAGGCACATCATAAATACATAGGATTAATGACTGACACAGTTGAATGATTGTTATTCCTGCATCCTAGGTCTGGATCTATGTATGCACCAATCAACCCCTCTCACTTCCATTTATTGAACACACAATACTGGATATGCACTGAACTAGCTGATTTATGTGTTTTCTTTACAATGTTCCCAAGATAAGTACTCCTATCTGCATTTTACAGAGGAAGGAGCTGAATCTCAGAATGGGTCAGTTCCCTGTCCAAGGCCACACAGCTAGAGAGGTGGTCCCTGGATCAGAACACAGGTCTGTTTGAACCCAGAGCCCATACTCTCCTGCTCCAAAGCCATATTTGGGATTTTACGATAGAGCAGCAGCCAATACACTTAATTTCTACTACAGTTAAAACTGAACTTGATGCGGATTTTTCATATAATAGTCAAGCTTAATCTGGGGCAATTATTTCACTTTCTGCCTTACGGCCATTTTCCCTAAGGTTCCCCTAAATGAAACCCACCGAGTTTCATTTTTTTTTTTTTTTTCGTTTCCTGTTCTGGATGGGGAGGAAGCTAGTGGAGCCAGTGAATGGCTCTAAAGTGGGGTAACTCTAGAAGGGAAAGTGCCTTGAGTGTTTGAATGTCCTGGTGAGTTTAGTAAGCACACTTTTTAGGGTCTTCTGTGGGTCATTAAAGTGGACCGGGCCAGTCCCTGTCACCCTCCCTGAGAAGTCAAGGAATAAACAAGCAAACTATAGAGCAGAATAAAAAATAAAGCAATGGCTTTAAATGCAATCCATGGATAACCAATGGTCAACATGAAGGGAAGAAAAGCATTGCGGGAAGAGGTAGTGGTCGGTGAAGCTTCTTGAAGGAGGTGGAACTTAGGCTGAAACTTTGAAGGACGAATATATAGAGGTGATAAGGATGAACTGAGTGGGGCATTTTACACACAGGCTTATGAATATAGACTTAGAAGGAACCGTGCACATGATGACAAAGTCTCATTTTAAAGACGAGATAGAAAGCCAGAGCGGTTAGGGCTGAAAGAAAAGACTAGCAAGTGGAGATGCTGTGCTGGCCGCTTTAGCTGGAAGGAAGGGTAGACTTCTGAGGTTGTGGGGATTTGGTAGGGAGAAATGGTTGGAAAGTTCGGGCCAAATAACAGAAGGCCAGAATATTAGAATAGGACTGAAATTCATTTTGTGGGTAGTAAGGGTTCACGTGGTAATTTTCAGACTAGAAATGCTTTGATGAAAGTGGCATTTTAGGAAGCTGAGTCTGCAGTAGTAGACAGAAGAGGGAAATGGAGGCAAGTGGACCATTTAGGAGGCTGCTGCAATGACCCACATGTGAGATGATCATTGCACTGGGATGGTAGCTGTGGGCCACATGTGGGAGACATTTTAAAGGAAGGACTCACAGAATTTGATGACAGATTGGCTATAGGGGAGAGGGAAATATGAGAGAGGAAAAAAGGCTAACAGGCGAATTCCCCACCTCCTCAGGATATTAACATAGATAAAAAATGTTTTAAATAGGAAATATATTTCAGGAAATATTTTTCCAATAAGATACCTCTTTTCAAAAAATTTTCATGGATCTAATCTAAATAAAAGGTGAATTTACCACATGATCATAGACTTAATTTCATACATGAGCATCCTCCTCCCCAAAGTCAATAATGATAAAAGTAAGCATCTATTTAGAGTCCAGTTTTAAAAATGTTAATCCCCTTAAATGTACTTCATGCTCTCTACATAAAAATACTGCACAGGGGGAAAAAAAACCAGATGTCCTGAGCTTACCCGTTGGTTGGTCTCATCTATGTGGTGATGGTTGGGGAAATCTCAATAGTATATACAGCTCAGTATCAGAAATCTTGCTTTATGGATTTTTTTTTTTTTTTTTTTTTGAGACTGAGTTTCATTCTTGTCACCCAGGCTAGAGCGCAATGACGTGATCTCGGCTCACTGCAACCTCCGCCTTTTGGGTTCAAGCAATTCTCCTGCCTCAGACTCCCAAGTAGCTGGGATTACAGGTACCCACCACCATGCCTGGCTAATTTTTGCATTTTTAGTAGAGATGGGGTTTCCCCATGTTGGCCAGGCTGGACTTGAACTCCTGATCTCAGGCGATCCACCAGCCTCGGCCTCCCAAAATGTTGGGATTACAGGCGTGAGCCACTGTGCCCGGTCCTAGCATTTTTAAAGAATAAACTAATTTTCAATATAAAACACAGAAGAACGAAACCTCTCATCCTTCCAATATGGATGCATAATTAGGGAAGGAAATAGGAAATGTCCCACTTGCCACTTGTCTCTACTATTATGATGGAAATGGCTACAACAATCTGCATGAAGTCACTTACATTTTCTTAGAAGGAAAACAGAGTAGAACCCTTCTAGTTTCCTGATGGAGGTTCCCACTCATAACCTACCATGGATTCAGTCAATACCTGGACTAATGTATTTTGGTATTGCACACCACCATAAAAATGAATTTTGTCACTTTCACAAATCAAGCTTTCAGATCACTTTTCACATCTAAGATCTGTCACCTTAATGTACACCGAGTGCACATTTCAGATCTCCTCGACCTCCGTTATTTTTTGCTTCTCTGAAAGGGATATCCCGTGTGCTCAAACACTTTCACAGCTGGCGGAATGCTGATGGGAACTTCATGTGTATTACCAGTACAAGTGCTGTCAGGAAGAAACCAAATGTCAAACTGAGGTATGTAGAAGTCACCATAAATGTGTCTCTGCATGTTTACCATCTGGGACAGTAGATTTTGATTTTGACAAGAAGCTAGGATTGCCCTGTGGGCACTGTGTTTTAAGCGAGCCCTTTCAGTTCATGAAGTAACTTCACATTATCTTGTTAGGGGGACAAAAACACCGCTGCCGTTTCAAGGTGTGAATTTATTATCTCTCCACACTTCCTTTCTTGTTTCCATCCTGCCTAATCCTGGGTACAATTGTTTTTTCAGGGGAATTGTCCCATATTGCCACAGTCCTGTCCAGGTAGCCCTGTGATCGGTCTGCAGCATTAGGGATGTATGCTGGTGGGGTACCTGTTGCTAAACAGCACCTTGCCTCTGTTAGAAGCCATCACGCCACATCTCAAGGAGGAAAATCCGATCTGTGAGGAGGAACTTGACTTTCTTGTGAAATATCTCTGCAGTAGTGAAACACGGCATTGGTAGTTAGCACCATGCATGCTATATGCCGTCCATGTAGTTCTAATCCTGATACGACACAAGATATTAGTTTGCCTTTCTGTCTTTATTTTTTCAAACCCCATTTCCATTGTAAAGTCAAAATGGAATGACTGGAATTCCAAAAGACTTCAGCTTATGAACTTGGTTCTATTTTGGTTATGTAATGTTGGGAATCAGATAATACTCAGTTAGAATAACTGGGTATTTATGAGGATAATTTCTCATTGAAGGAGAAGTTTGAGAATATAACTGGAGAACATTCTGAATAAAAATGAAAGATCATATTAAAATATTGTTTTAGTCTTAACTTTTTTTAAAAAAAAGGATTTAAAAAAATTAACTGCATGGTTGCAAAAGTGTGTATAATGCAACTTGAAACATAATTTTACAGGCATCTTTGTGCAATTGAATACTAAAATCACAAAGCACTAGCCATAAATCCTGTTATTCAACCTACTAAACAGCTCTTATTTCAGAACAGCTTATATACAATATTATTCATAGAATCTCTCACCTGCAAAGGGTAAGGATAATGCTGGGTTTCTCTGCCAAATGTGAAAGTCCAGTAGGAGCCCAAATCTCTGCATACCACGGGTATATGAACGTTACTATCGGAGGGCAAGTATATTAGGGTAGCAGAAGTCTCATTGGCTCACCTATCTTGCTAGAAAACTTGGAAAATTAAAAATTTTATGTTTTGATCCCTGTGAAAATAGAGCCTGAATTGAAAGGCCTTTTTTTAATACCACAAATTAAACAGAGCATATACACCCCCTTGTTATATTTATAAATAGTTCAATTCAATTTTGGTGGGTGCTTTGGGTAGAGCCGTTACATCTACTCACATATATGATGACAACTCATTTTATGTTTCTCAGGCACCAGATGACTATTAATTTCCAATGACTAGTTTATAATTAAATCCTTTTTGTTTGCCTGTTTATAACCAAACCTGAAAATCTATTTACGTTTAATTAACACTTCACTTAGCCGGTCTAAAACCTATAAATGTAGTGACTCTTAATGATCCATTACAGAGATGCTACTTTAGTTTTCCATGACTTGTAAAACTTTCACAAACAGATCTGCAAATCAATTACCTCCATCTGCTTTCCCTGCAGCTGCAAGACGGCTATGTTAAAGAGCATTTTCCTCCTTCTTCCTCCTCTGCTTTTCTTCCAGCTCTAAGCATTTTAGTTTTAAAGCCGACCTAGCGGCTGTTCAGAGGGTAGCCCCTTCTCTTAAGGAGTTTCCAAACTTTAGAGTCAATCTCCAAAAGCATTTTAAAATACCCTTTGCTCTGTCATAAGTCAGACAGAATCTACCTTGTACAAATCGGTGAAGAAAGCATTTCCATCTCTGCCAGCAACGCAGTAATAGATCCTTCAAAGAATCTTTATAAACTGAGCAGTAAAATGCAACAGTTTGAAAGTGAATTTTAATTTTGAAAGCTAAAATAAATCCTTTATCAGCCTTATCTACTCTTTACAAGCAAGTTATAGCTCCTGTTTTGAGTATACAACGGGCATATGAAAAGGTACAAACGCGGCTCCCAAAGATATTTTCTTAGCTACACCTTCAAAAGCAAGGCATGAGGAGTGTTAGTTCTATAAAGACAGCCAAGCATCAAGCTATGCTCACTGTCATCTGTCAGCGGTACAATAGCAGCATTGATAGGACAGCAACAACTGGCTTTGACAAGTGTGCCGTGCTAGCATTCCATTCAAAACTATGCTAAAAGAGAGACGGGGAGAGAAGCATTCAATGTCTTTTACTTTACCTGAAAAAAAAAACTGCTTTTCTTGTGTCTGCTGAAAATGAATTCCTCCTTTTCCTCCAAAAGCAAAGTAGTTCTATTGCCTGCGACTCTCACTTGGAGAAGACCACACAGCTCCAGCAAGGCAGCCTTCCTTCTCTTAATCCCCACTCGAATGTGATGACACACACTAACCCCAACCATCTGTTGAAACACGTCCTCAAGCACTCAGCACAGTGGTGTGTCAAGACGGGCTGCCCAATCCAATTGCTGGGGCTGGGTGTCTCTTACGGATTGGAGGCTGAGGGCAGGGCTGAAACTGGAGGTCTGAGAACTCCCAGTCAAGTAACCTGAGATTTTCGGAGAGAAAGGACTGCTATAAAAAGAGGAGAAGTGGGAGGTGCTACAGAGAAGGTGGAGGGAATGAATTATTCTGATGGCCAGTTGCGCGTTTCTTTTCACAACTCCTCGTGCTCCCCCTGGGATGATGGGGACCCTCAGTGGGATGCAAAGAAACCCTAAAAATTTTTTACTGCCCATCTACGGAAGGGCCATCTTCTCAGCAAGAGGTTTTCCCTTCCATAGGAGATAAAAGACTCATCTTGACTTGCTGATAAAGGGTTAATGTAGGAGTAGTTTGCACTGAAATGTGACATCTACATTTTGAAATCTAAACTCCTACCTTCCTTTGATTAGATCGTGGCTGCCTCCAACATTCCTGGCAGGGAGGGGGTGGGGGCGCAGCTAAGAGCAGAAACTTCCCTATTCCCACACACAGCTCTTCACTGTTTGCCACAGGCTGAACTTCAGAAATAGTCAATGAAAATCATTTTCGTTTCTACTCATGTAAAATAGCACGCGCTCCCATAGATAAAGGTGGCTTTTTTAATCACTTGCTGCTTTCACAGACATCTCTTTGTAAAAGCACTTTGGTACCAGAGGACTGCACTCTGCCATTGATTATTTTTATTGGCTTCTAGTTAATTGCACTTATAATGCCCATATAGCTCAAACAGCTCATTAACAATTTTGCTTTGAAATGTTTTCAATTTTTGGTCATTTCAATATCTCCTTCTTATGTGCTTTTTTTTTTTTTTTTTGGTTTTCTGAACTGTTTTATAAAACTAAGTACTTTGACAGCCGTCTGAACCAGAAGATGGCTATACTTGTTACAGTACTTTAAGAAGATATCTAGAAATCAATTAATTGCCACAAATCTCACAATTTCAAAAATTCCATCAGACATCTAAGGAATTTTGATAAACTGAAAGAGAAAATAGGAATTTTAAATACTACCAACTCCCTGACAGCGTCTGTGGGAAGCCAATACTTTAAGTATTGCATCTTTTGAATTTCTTTGAACTGGAAGGGGGATTGTTTAAAAACAAAACAAAACAAAAAAACACTTAAACTTGCCTAATGCCTTAAAATTTAGACTATAAATAGTTATCTAATACGTGGAGTGCTAGTATCACAAGGAGAATTATTTCAGTTTCTAGCAACATTGACTTGACTAGCTTGTGTTTTTCCAGAATTTTTCTGTGTGGTATTATATTAAGATACTTAAAAATTATCCCTGGTGCAATTTTCTGAAGTACAAAATTAGAAAACTAATTTTTCGCCGTGCATTTTTTCTTATAATTGGGTTATAAAGAAGAAGGAAGGGAAAAAAGAGTCAGAAGTTAGAGTCCTGATTCATTTGCTCAATTGCTTCTCAGAAGTGATTATGAGGTGTCTGTTTCACAATATATTGTGTATTCACTAAACTACTCCTAATCAGCTAAGTCCAGATACATAATCAACACAAACATTTTCAACAATGGCAAATGGCACAACAGGGCTCTCACTTCCCTTGGGCATCATAAAATTTTTAATAGTGCCAATTATTGTAAGGTATTTTTTTTTCCTGTTTTGGTGGGAGGGGGGTTAATCCATCCAGACCCATGTCTGGGAATCTGGATTACCTCAACTGCATAGATTTTGAAGACCCCAGAGACATTATTAAGGTAGTTCGTATTCTCTTAAACTGTAAATTGAGTTACAAAAGTAAAACCTAAGAAACTGTACAGATGTCGAATCAAGAAACTTTATCAACCCTGTGCTTGTAACACACCGTCTATGAGGGGTTCCCAAATGGGCCAGGTTCTGACCTACATATTGTTTGAAGTGCTTTTTAACACAGACATTTTATTCTATTATTAAATTGTAGATCTTTTCATTAAAACTCAGTCACTGCTTCTCTTTTATTGATAACTTCAGCTATTTACAGGATTTAATACTTGCTTTAAAATAAAAAATACAAGGATGCAATAGATGTGGCTGTTTGCTGTGATCTTAATACTTGCTTCTGCAGTAGCTGTAAATGCTACCTTTGGAAAGTATTGTAAGAGTGAGTCCGCAGAGACACATTTTTCCTTGTTGTTCTGAAATGCTTTTGTTAGGGAAAATCAACTCAAACAAAAACCTGAAGCTGGTGCTGCAGGATAAGGTCCCAGCTCCCCTTCTCTCTGTAGCCTGCTTTAGTGCTCAGTGGAGTGTCAGTTTAGAAGTTAAGAATTTTCCATTACCTCCCTTCCTTTCTCCTTGCCATCTGCAAACAGTTTATTTTTTAAGAAAAAAAAAAAAAAGTGAAATTGATTCTGTCTTGAAAGATCTAAACCTAAAATACAGCACATTCTAAAAGATGATATGCCGAATTTTCAAGTACATTGAGCAGCGTGACGTTGTGCACAGAGTGAAGTGCTTCACCATAAGAATTAAGTAAGGACACTCCTAAAATGAAAGATTAATTGTAGGTAACGGTGATATTGAAAAATAGCCCCTCCTATTCTGTTCCCACAGTTAAAATGTCCCTTTACTTATTAGCTCCAATTAGTTTCCATGGTAACCGACCAGCCCTTGTAAACCCCGCACTCTGAGCTTCACTCATCTTTGTCTAGACTGAACTCACCAGCCTTCTTCCTCCACAGATGGTAGTTTAGCTGAGTCTATATCTATATCCATATCTTTTGCACACACATAACTGGCACATAAGTGCCCACATTCACTTTATTACTTGCACAATTGTGGCCAAGGGAGAATGGAAGTGGCATTTAATCCCCCAGCTACAACGCGTGCATCTGCTGCCACACTAATTTTTCCCCCTCTTGGTTATTGTTTCTTCCAGTCTTGTTCTATTATCAGCTGTTTGCTGCTCGTAATTTCTTTTCAGGGAAGCCAATACAGTATAATAAAAACCTCATTAAACAGAAACACCTATCAGCCTCGGAGAAAGCCCTAAACTACCCCTTTTTGTTTAAAGAATCATTAAAGTGAAAAAGAAAAACCACTTGTTTGTCATGCTTGGAAAAAAGAGAACAAAGCCAACATAAAGGTTTACCAAGCCAGGGGGCTAATATGAAGATTTAATGCACTTAAGACACGGTGGTTCTTTCCCCCTTGAGCTGCCTGTTGGCCAAGAATCCCAACTTGAGCACAGTAAACAAATGATCAGGGAGGCGGAGAGAGCTGGCCCCTCCACACACTTGCTGGGGAGGGAGGTGACAGGGACTCCCAGTATCTTACTGGTTGCAGGCTGCACTGTGCCACCGTGCCAATGGGGGCCGGCGATGCTGTTGGATTCCCCCAGAAGTCAGCTAGTGTGAGTACGCAAGAAGTGAGTGGCGAAGGCCTTAGGCAAATGCTTGAAACTGAGAACTCAGTAAGCCATGGGCTTTTATAATTTGTGCTGACTTTAGCTCTTTGGACACAACTCACTTTTAATTCAGTGTTACTTTGAGGTAAACCATCCTTACTTATAAGAACTGGGAAGATGCCCACAGTTTAGGAAGTTGTGATGGCCATGTTTAATCTTGGTAAAAGTAAGTCAAAATGGTAGCATTAGATTTCTCCTTTTTGTATCACCTCTGCTACCACAATTTTTTCCAACATGCAAATAATGATTGCAAATAAGATTCCCTCAATTGCAATGATGGAATGTTTTATTCTTAAAATAGTTTCTGAGGTTGGCTTCTGAGCTCATCTGTAATCTAAATACTAGAAATAGAAAAGAAAAAGTCCTGATCACCATTATTTTATCTGATAGGATATAGGAACCTGTGATACTCCTTATACTGATACATTCTTTTTTTTTTTTTTTTATGATTCCTAAACCTCACCTGACTTCCTTAGGTTTTGTCCTTTAAATAAATGACAAATGATATCTAGAGTTCCATGACACCAGAAGCATGTATAACTATTAGCTCATTGCCATTTGTATCATAAAGTGTCTGTAGATACACAATAAATCTTGTAACTTGGAACATCCTGCATATCTAAATTACTCCAGGCTACACAATTTCCGATATTCTCTTATTCTCTTCCAACTAAACTTTATGGCCTTTATTTACATGGAACCAAGTCATTCTCAGAAAGAAAAGGGAAATTATTGCTTGTTAAATGAATTCACATGTGATGCAGCAAGCTTTAGGCTTGCTCATGTTTGCAGTGACTGCATAGCTACATGGGAGGTGGCACTGGAGCTAGTGGTAGTGTTCATAGCAGATGAATAGTTTTGTCCCTGAAGTGAAGTTCCCTCCAGGAAGTACAAGCCTAAAGCATGCTGAAAAGGGTTGTGTAGCTGCATTGTAAATAATTTTAGGAGGGCAAGGTTGGGTAGTAAATCACTTAGGACAAAACAGTGACCCACACACAGAATAATTTAATGAAAGATAATAGATTCAATAGAATTGTGAGAAATAGGATAGTAAAATTTTTAGAAACCTATTCTGAATCCGTATTTGCGGAAATTAGTGTTTGGGGCATCGGGCTTCAGGCTTCATTTTACCAGATAATTAAAATTTATGAGACATAATAGAACATACAGATATTAAGTAAGAGGAAAATGTGAATTTCAGCAGTAGGAACTCGAGGTTTTGTTTGATACACCTGGAGGTAAGGTTGAGGGTATTTGACATGTATATACCCTAAACCTAATGAGTCAAATAATTACCTTTCATTTGTAATAAATACATTCCCTGGTTAAGGTGAGTAGTATGAATGAAAGTGGAAAACTGAATGCAGCCATGAGTATCATGCATGTCTCAGAAACGCAGTAGAATTTTGCGTTTGGAAGGAATAATAGACAAAATCAAATTTCTTTATTTTAGAGAGGAGCAAAGTGAGGCCCAGGAAGGCATAAGGGTAACATCCGAGTCATTGGTGGAATTGGGAATACACCCCAAGATTTAATCCATTAGCTCTTATAGCTTTCTCTCAATAATAACATGTACTTTTATTAGAAACAATATTCAGAACGACAAAGACTCTCTTAAACCGGAGTAGTTATGTTTTCTTGGCGCTATATAAT